AACAGAAGCAGGAAGCAGAGAGATCATATTGTATTGGCACACAGGAAGTAGAGAGAAGGAACAGGAAGTGTGACATGGCTATAAACCTTCAAAGCTTGCCCCAGTGATGTACTTCCTCCAGCAAGGATTCACCTCCCAAAGGATCCATAATCTCTTCAAATAGCACCACCAACTAGGGACTAAGCATTCAAATACATGAGCCTATTGGGGACAGGTCTCATTAGGACCACCTTGAGCACTGATTTTCTTTCTTTGAATTTAGAAGGAATCAAATGTTGAGAGGTACAAAATGCATTTTATTACATATATAATATTGGGTGCTTTGAAAATAATTGTACTGTGGGATACAAAAAAAGTCCTAAAAAAGCATAATCATAAATTATGATCACCCTGCCGTCAGGGCTCAGATCTCCCCTTTTGCATATGACATTCCATCAGGAGACCCTCCGAGACCTCTCCTGCTTTGTACTATCATGTATTCACTTAACCTCACCACTCATTCATTCCACAAAATTGACGGAGCCATTAGCCTGGGCCTGATACTGCTCTAGAGGCTTGAGGACTTATCCCAGTGAAGTGAGACTTTCTCCCATCCCTTCCTCAGTCTAGGCCGGTTTCCTGATTAATCTCTTAACTTGCTCTGTTCACGCTGTACTCTCAGGCTGGCTTTTTCTCTAGGAATATTTCAGTCAGGAAGGTTGCTCAAAGAACCCACCAATCATCTTTTGCTCTTGAAACTGCTCAACCCTGAAAGGCAGGTGTCTCTGTCCAATCTGAATTTCCTTGCCTTTTTGGTATGTATTCCTTTCCCAGTCTATCACTCTAGCCTTCCTATCTATCTTTCCATCAGACATTTTTGAATGCCTATTATGTACTAGCAAGGTACACATGTGGTGAACTTACCATTTATACATTTTCAGTTATCTTTAATGATATACACACATATAAACACACACACATTTTAAAGATAGATTTTTTTTTTTTTTTTTTCTTTTTGAGACAGGGTCTCCTTGTAGCCACAGCTGGCCTGGAACTCGCTATGTAGACCAGGCTGGCCTTAAACTTACAGAGATCTGCCTGCCTCTGCCTTAAAGACAGATTCTTGATACATTGCTCTAGCTAGCTCAAACTCTTGGTCCTTCTACCTCAGCATCCTAAGGAGCTTGGGGTTTAAGTGGGTTATCACTACATACAGCTTATAAAATTACATATTTACACAATTTCTGTCTAGATGCATTTTATTCTTAAATTATTTATTGAAACTTTGCAGAATATAAAAATATACTATTTGCTTTATAGAATTTAGAAAACCATGGAATAATTACATAATCTTATAGCCTATAGAATTACTCATGAAAAATTTTTATTATTTATTATTATTTTGTCTTTTTGAGACAGGATCTCCCTGTAGCCCCAGCTGACCTGGAACTCACTATGTAGACCAGGCTGGCCTCGAACTCACAAAGATCCGCCTGCCTCTGCCTCCCAAGTGCTGGGATTAAAGGCGTGTGCCATCACGACCAGCTATTATTTATTTTTATTTTATGTGTATGCATGTGTTGCCTGCACATAGGTAAGTGGACCTGTGTTGTGCAATGACCCTGGAGGATGGAAGAGGTTGTCAGATCCCCTAGAACTGGAGTTACTGACAGTTGTTAGTTGCCATGTGGGTGCTGGGATTCGAACCTGGGTCTTCTGTAAGAACAGCCAGTGTTCTCAACCACTGAGTTACCTCTCCAGCCCCCATGAGTTCACTTTTTAAGGAGCATTCTTCTAGTCATTTTTGTGTGTGTGTATACTGACAAATTGGGATCATGCTCACTTTCTACTTACTATAGCACAATGTGAAAATTCTGTCAGTTGGTATTTTTTGAAGACATGAATTTAGATGATGTATAGCATCCCATTTTTAAGCTAAGCCACAGTCTGTCTGATTAACTCTTTACTGCTGGAGGAGGCTTCTTTATAATAGTGAGTACTATCTTTATCATAAGCTACAAGAAGGCAAGAACCAAATATTTAATTGTTCTTCTGAGGCAGTACTCACAAGCAAAATATAACTAAAGTAACTTGATTATGTATGAGCCATATTCCTCTAGTTACCATTTAAAACAAAATCAAACCAGTTTGCATAAAACCTAACTCACCTGCCAGAAAGGTAATGATAGCTCTGGGTGATGCTGAAAGGAAGATATATGTACTGCAGGCTAGCTTAGAACTCAGCAATCCTCCTGTCTTCCCAGTGCTGGGATTAAAGATGTGAACCACCGGGACTGGAGAGATGGTTCAGTGGTTAAGAGCACTGACTGCCCTTGCAGGGTACCCAGGTTCGATTCCCAGCACCCACATGGCAGCTATGAACCATCCTTAACTCCAGTTCCAGGGAAATCCGAAGCCCTCTTCTGACCTCCGCAGCATTACACGACATGGGTGAGGCAGTACTCACAAGCAAAATATAACTAAAGTAACTTGATTATGTATGAGCCATATTCCTCTAGTTACCATTTAAAACAAAATCAAACCAGTTTGCATAAAACCTAACTCACCTGCCAGAAAGGTAATGATAGCTCTGGGTGATGCTGAAAGGAAGATATATGTACTGCAGGCTAGCTTAGAACTCAGCAATCCTCCTGTCTTCCCAGTGCTGGGATTAAAGATGTGAACCACCGGGACTGGAGAGATGGTTCAGTGGTTAAGAGCACTGACTGCCCTTGCAGGGTACCCAGGTTCGATTCCCAGCACCCACATGGCAGCTATGAACCATCCTTAACTCCAGTTCCAGGGAAATCCGAAGCCCTCTTCTGACCTCCGCAGCATTACACGACATGGGTGCACTCACATACATGCAGGCAATACACTCATACACATAAAAATAAAATATCAAAAAAAAAAGTGAACCACCTTGCCTGACTGGGTTGGGGTTTATTAACTATTCTTGAGGAACTGAATTCTTCATTTAAGTCTTGGAATAGGTAGGAGTCACCCAGTGATTCTAACTTCTTTTTCATAGATGGAGAAATTGAAGCAAGGATTGTTACCTGCTGAGATTAATACCAGGTCTCTTAACTTCTTTCCTGTCCTGTGTTCTGTATGACCCAATCTGCAGACTAGGCTTACTCTTAAAAAACACAGAAAGAGGGGCTGTGGTAGAATGCATGAGGCATTGGGCTTATCCCCAGCATACAAAAATCAACCGATCAACCAACTAACAAGCAGACAGAGGGTACATTTATTTACATGTGGTATAAGGTCCTAGGTATGCAGCCTAGGGAATGGATGGCGTATTTCCACCCAAAGATTTGTACATGAATGTTTCCAGAAGCATTATTCGTAATAGCCCAAAGCAGGGAAATGTAAATTGCTATATTCATACAATAGAATACTATTTAGCAATAAAAAGAAATTAACTGTTAAATGCACCCATGTGGGTGAATATTAAAATAATTATGTTGAAGGAAACTAGCCAAGAGTGCAAACTGTATACTTTCATTTACCTAAAATTCGAGGAAATGTAAAGTACTCTGTAACAACAGAAAGCAGGCCTGTGGTTAGCAGGGGGATGGTAGTGGAGAAGGGAGGAACCACAAACAGGACCATAGAGGAGACTTTGGAGGGTAATATTCACCACTTTGTAGAAGTGGTTTTTGGTGCATACACACCAAAAGCGTAGACATTAAATACATGCCACCTATAGGAAGTACATGGGTAAAGTTGTTTAATTTGCTTAAACTTCAATAGCAGAATGTGACTAAAAACGGAAGAATCTGAAGCGCAAGAACACTCAAATGACTTGCAGAGATAAGTGACAACTAAGGCTCTACTCTGGTACGATAGTTTATCTGAAGAAAACATTACTGTGAGGAATGCAAAGTCATAAAAATAAAAAATAGAAATGACATTTTTGTCTCCTGGTAATCATGCAATTTCCTCAAGCCCGCAGTTGCTTTATATCATAATCTTTTTAGTGTTCTATTCAATTTGGTTTTTTAGAGAGAGCAATAACCTTGTATTTTTCCTGGACTATTAGGCTGTTCTTTGATGTACAAGATGGCCAATCGCTGGTGTATGTGGGTGGGTGTGTAGAAAGCTACACTGTATCTAAAAATTTTAGCAAATGCTGTCATTTGTTCCGGGATTTTGTCGTCAGGAGTAGAAACAAACTGGAAATTTCTAGAAACCATACCTTCTTTGACAAGCTGAACACTGTATAGTTTAAAAAAATGTGAATTCAGTAATGACAGTCTTCTATTTTAGATTTTCCACTTCTGTTAAAACAAAGAACTGCTCTACCACACACATGGTCTAGAGCAGAGGTACCATTTCTCAATTCCTTTATTAAATACATTTTTAAAGTTTTATGCTCCATTCCATGTTATTTCCTTAGCTCTTTTATTCTGTAATGACTCCCGTTCTGCAGATGAGGAAGCGCACACTGGTGTCTTTTATTTATTTTCGTCTCGGTGCTGAGAGGCAAGAAAGAAGCAACTCAACTTTTCAGTTCCATTTTAAGAGAGCACCGCGTCGGACTCCAGAGCCTGAGCAGAGCAGTGCATCTCTCGGCGTTGGCTGTGGGGCGTGAGCCGAGTCGGGCGCGCTGTGGCGGAGGGGAAGGCAGGTGGCAGCCGGGCCCCGGGCGCGCGGGCAGGCGAGCGCGCCTCCCTC